ATTTCCTGCTTAATATAGTGTTCCTGCAGACGCGACAACGCTGGGACGTCAATAAATGCCTTGCGAGTTCCCGAGCTAGTGTTTCCCAGTGTTTTCTTTGCTTATTTCATGTTTTTTAGTTGATTCGTTGCTGATAAAGAGGAAAAGGGTAAGTTAAAGAGTAGTTTCTGTTTTCTGAGAAGTTCTATTATCGCATATTCACAGATATCCACGTGGAGCATTCCGCGTCAGCTTCTTGTCTAGTTTTTTTTGTCATTTCCTTTTCTTCTGTGACTTCTTCTTTCAAACCTCCTCCTTCTTGTGAGGTGTTTCTTTGAACGCTAGTTGGCTTGTCTTGCAGCAACTTCGCTTTCATCCATAGGAAATAGCATTTTAATCAAGTACTTCATTGATCAAGACAAAAGTCAATCGTAAAAACCCACTAGCGTTCAAAGAATACCTCACAAGAAGAAAGAGACATGAAGTGACAGAAAAATAGACAAGAAGCTGACGCGAACTGCTTCCACCTGGATATGTGAATATGCGATGATAGAACTTCTCAGAAAACAGAAATAACTCTCTAACTTACCTTTTTCTTCTTTATCAGCAACGAATCACCTAAAAAGCATAGAATAAGCAAAGAAAACACTGGAAAACACTAGCTCGGGAGCTCGTCAGGCAATTATTGACGTCCCAGCGTTGTCGCGTCTGCAGGGACACTATATTAAGCAGGAAATCTACTCGACTGTAGATTGTCGAAATAGGGCTCCCAAAAACGAAGAAAAGGGTACCAGAGCCAAATGCCCCGCGCCCCGCTTTTGGGGTAGCGAGGTAGCGCGCAAGTCGCGGAGACGCAGACGGGCAGCGGAGACAGACCAGAGCCGGCGGGGCATTTGGCTCTGGTCATTGATCTCCGCGGGATCCGAAACCCTCTAACATTATATATCGTTGTGATCCTCATGAGACGTCCAGGAGCACTGACGACGTCGCGAGTCTTGAAATTCACTCCATAACGAGATAGACCAGCATTTAAGTAGCGACTCTCTGCGCAAGATTTGAGCGCAGTTCCTCGTTTCTATTGAACTCCAGCGGCTTTCATGAACTTCCAACGCTCAATCGAAGTCTAGAGAAAGATTAGTTGAGAAATTTTGCTCCAGTTCCTCATTGAATTTTTGAATAAAAGTCTTTTTGGCAAAAAAGGGCCATAAAAACGTAATCCTTCGGTTTTTTGAGTTTCTTTTGGATGTCACTACTATATTTACCTCATTCACATCTCTCCCTATATGGATATGTCATTAGTTATGCCATGATATCCGGGGCTTCGCCCCGGATGACTTCCCTCTAAGTGAAGGTTGTGTCTATCATGACGCTCAAAGTGAAGGTCTCCAGAGTACGTGGCTCTATGTATCGAAGGTATGACTGTAGGATTACGGTAGGAACTTCAAGCATATGGTGTCACTGTGAAAAAAGCTGCGGTTTCAAAAATTTTCAAATAAATGTAAAAATTTGTTTAATTGAGTTTCCATGGACGCCGAGTTCAATACTCAATTATGCATAAGGCTGCGGAGTTTTCTAAACGGTATAATTGCAATTTTCGGGAGCACTGGAAAACCGTCCGGTACTGCTTACCTCACATAACTTTTTATTGAAGCATTACGGTAAGCTGCGAACTCCACATTTTGAATCAGCAACTCTAATTAGTCCAGTGTGATACTTTTCAGGTTGTTTTGTTTGCTTTCTGAGGCAAAATATGGCCTTTCATATCTCAAAACCCTCTTCAAAGTTCCTACCGTAATCCTACAGTAATGAAGAGCAATCGGTGATTCGCTCTATACTGTAAATCTAAGTTGAAGCCAGCTCTACAAAACGGTACCTAAATCTTCCCGAAACACTTCATTACAGGAGATTTACAATCAGTGAGTACATATTTTTGGGACACCCTGTATGAGAAAACAAAATATCAGCTTGGCTCCAAGCTGATGCTTTGTTTCCTCGTATATTTTAGAATCAATCAATTTCATCCTTTCTCAATAAGCTTAAATTCATAGGCACCCTCCATTCAATTCTGAAATTGGTGATACTGATGCAGTGTAATAATGAAGCCTTTAAGTAAATATATAAATACCCAAGTCCAGCTGCAAAAAGTATATATAAAAACGAGGAAATCGCAGCAAACATGGATGTTGCAGTGGTCCCCACGCCTATAAATGTGGGTGGTCTGAAAGCAATGAACCCAAAACTGAACTTTGAAATATCTAGGTCGAGAATTTGTAATACACAATGTAAGGTGTTACCCAATGTAAAGGAATTCTCGACATTTCTAAGTACTACTAATTTTATTTCGGACTCGCGGTCAGGCCTTTGAGCCATCCCGACAAAGCCATATATTTTTGAAGGCACTTTGGCAATTTCCACTGGGACAGATTCTCCAGCTAGAAGCAAAAGAAGATCAACGGAAATGACCCATCATTTTGGATTGTGTCACCTATATTGGATAGAATCCGAGATGTCATAATATGAGATTCGTGACCTATTTTATGTAGTTGGTAGAAGTTTGTACTGATCGAACGTCCTTGTGGAGAAAAATATTAGTTTCTGCGGTAGTCAATCTCAATATAACATTACAAAACGGCAAAATCGTTTTCAAGCATTTGGAAATAACTTGCTGAAGACACTCGAACAGCAACTAAGTCAGAAAGATTGTATTACGATAACTATCACTGGTATTTACGGGGGTTTTTTTGCAATGATGCGCTTTTTCGGAAATCCTAGATGATCGAAGCTAGACTGATCTCTTGTGACGATGCATGGAAGGAAGAGAGGAATTAAAGGGAGAGAAAAAACGGGGGGGGGACAAAAGTAACGTTTGTGTGAGTAGAAAAATGGGAAATGGAGAAAGTTTATGACCATGCTTTATCAATGGTAGTCCACTTGGCAAACGTCTGGAACCTGCCAGGTAAATTTGGAACAACAAATTACCTGCACGAGAATTTCCATTAACTTTTCAAATATGAACTGTCTCTACTGTGAATAATTATGGTGACTCATTCAATTATCAAAATTAAGCTGAGGGGCGTGCCTGCCACGAACCCTTCCAAAACTAGAGGTTTACAAGCAAAGAAATTGGAAAGCTTCCCAAGAATTTTTCTGGAGAGCTAGTCGCCACGCTCCGCACTTGTGTTCAGTCGCTGATGCCCCTATTTTTTCACACCGCCACAAAAATGTTCTGCAGCTTGCCCATATGCCATCTTTTATAGGGGCCTGCAGGATCGCGAGAGTCGGACGTGCGTACGGCCATTGCGCCGCGCACGTCGTATGTCACTGGGTCGTACTCGATTAAGGCTGGATAGGTGAGATTTTTTTGTTTTTCTTCTCATTTCTCGCCTTCTTTTCTTTTCAGGCGGCGAACATATGTTGGTGCAGAGGAGTTTAAGATCTAGATTAAGGTGAGGTGCAGGATTATGCTCAATACGGGCCAATATTGTGGACTTTTCACCCCTGCTTTGAAGAATGTTGAGTTTTCTGTTCTGGCTGTCCGATTATGTTCGATTTTTCGTCCTGCCTGCCCGGTTACGAAACTCCGTTTTATTTGCAACGTCTGTTCTACCTCATCTTGCATCATGCGCGTCATCACAATCATAATCATTGTCATCATCATCATCATCATCACAGCAATATGCAAGTTAAATTAGAATAGACGGTAGAAATAGAACAGTTTGCTGTAACAGGGCAGCCAGGACAGAAAATCCAACATCTCAACCAGCAGGCATGGAAGGTCTGCAATATTGAGTCCGTATTGAGCATAATCCTGCACCTCTCCTTAATTCAGATCTTAAACTCCTCCGCACCAACATGTGCTCACCGTCTGAAAAGAAAAGAAGGCGTGAAATGTAAAGAAAAACAAAAAAAACTTACCTATCTAGCCTTAATCGACTACGACCCAGCGATATCAGGCGTGCGCGGCGCAAAGCCCGTACGCGCGTCCGACTCTCGCGATCCTGCAGGCCCCTATAGCACCTTATACCTGGCTGTCGCGAGGCCAAGTTACCAACAGTACAGGCTCAGATTCATGCTCCAAGGAATTACATCTCATATTTGGATGAGAATATATTGAGAGAGCAACTCGTTCCCCATTCTAGACCAAGTTAGAGATTGTAAGACGAGTGCAGCAGCTATTCTGACAGTATGATGGTTAGGAGCGCTTGAATTCGAAATACAGGGTGTCCCAAAAAAATGCTAACACTGTTTGATCGTTAATAACTCCCTTGATTTCATATTTTTCGACGAGCTTGAGGCACCGTTCTGTAGAGCGAGGTTCAACTTAGATTCACAGTATGGAGCGAATCACCGTTTGCTGTTCTTTACTGTAGGACGGTAAGGAATCCAGCATGTGGAACCGTCGTGAAGTATGCCCTCTGATAAAAATTTTTTTCAAAAAATCTGAAAAATCGTATACTAGGGTTTTCGCGCACGCTGATTTTACTACACAACTTTTTACGAGTGTTTTCAGCTTTTTTGACGGTGTAATCGCATTTTTGACACATGCTGGGAAGCCAGTCATTACACTTTACCTAGGATAACTTTGAAAAGAAGTATCATAACAGAATGGAAATTTCATATCCGAAATCAGCGGCTTCCATTACCATAGTAAAAAAGGTTTTGGCTTGTTTGGCTCTGTTTTGAAGCAGAAAATGGCCTTCAATGGCCGAAAATCATTGTCAAATTTCCTACCGTAATTCTACAGTAAAGAGGAGAGTTAGATCCATACTGTAAATCTAAGTTTATCCTCGCTCTACAAAACGGTACCTAAAGCTCGGCGAAAGACTTGAAAGCAAGGGAGTTATTAACGATCAAACAGTGTTAACATTTTTTGGGACACCCTGTATTTAGCCACAACACTTGGCAATGACAATTTGAAAAGTCCACACAAGACAAGCTCGAAATAGTATTTTATGAGAGAGTTAATCTCAAGAGTAGGCTCAAAAAACAAAAAATACTACGTATAAGTTTCTTTGGCGTACCTCTTCCATCACTCGTTTACAGGTCTCCAGCAGTGATGTGAGTTTGGCGTGTGCTGCTTTGAGATGGTCACAATTGGCAGCTCGATTATCGGAGTCAAGTCCCATTGTCTCGTATGAACTGATATGAAAGATTGTTACAGAATCGTAACCGACGTAAAAATTGTAGAAGGATGAGAAGAATGAACACAAATAACGCAATAAGGCAACCAATAAGTGGAGATAAAGTAATCAAAATTCTAGACGTTACATGCAGTCCCTTGAATTTTTGCCGGAAAATGCTGAACAAAGCAGATGCGAAAACAACTTGCGCTGTCAACTTGGCTGAGTTTTTCAAGTGAACCGTTTACGGGTAATACGTGTACGGCATGCAGCTTTGCGTTGTCTTCAATGCTTGAACCGTTATTGATTGCGTTGGTCGCAATCACCGGCTGTAGTAGGCTGCAGGCAATTACCGTCTCCAATGGGTAGGTCATTTTCACGACTCTTCAATCATTTTTTCTTCTCTTTGAAAATCTGCATGGTGCTTAGCACCCTTTTCTAAGTTCTTTGTAAGGCCGTAGAGCATCACGTAGTTTTTGGGTAGTATATCTTTCCTTGCACGCTAAATATTCGTGACCGTTTAGACCTCATTCGCATTTATTTATTTATTTATCATGCTTAGGAAAGTCCCTACGAAAAATTGTCCGCAGTAAAGCCGTAACTTGGCGAACTTCTGACTTTGATCCTTTGCGCTTTTCTAAGCTTGAAGTCGTAACGAGGCTGCCTCTTACTATAATTCATGTGGTTTGATCCGGGACAGGTGATCAGGCAACAAGTGTAGAAACTCTATAGGCTGTCGGATTTTAGAAGTCGAAAAAGTGGATTTTGCTTAATCGTCAGGGTTACGTGACATGCTAATCGTAATTATCGTATTTATATTGCACTGTAGCGCATCTTTTGGGGTCAGACGAAGTTTTGGGCAGATTCGGAGATATCCATCCATCTACCGTACATCCACCGTGCTCGCTATTGCAGTGCATAATCGATACGATACTCGTGAGCAGCGTGCCAAATCTTATATATAAAGCTGAATGTCTGTCTGTATGTCTGTCTGTCTGTATGTCTGCCTGTACGTATGTGCAGAATAGAAATTTTTATTTCTGAACCGATTTGGACCAAACTTGGCACACATATACTTCAGGGCAGGGAGCGTGTCATAGGCTACTTTTCGTTATCGATCGATATCGATTTTATCGATTTTTTGCAAAATTTGAGCTACAGGGCTGGGAGTTGGCACAGGGGGGTAATCGAGCATGCTGATTACGAATATAATAATGACAGGCCCGGGCGGAGCTGGGTTTGCCAACTAGTCATTCCTATAGACCAATTTTTGCAAATCTAGTCATACCTCTCACCGCCTCTTACCGCCCATGGTAACCTTAGAACGTGAAAATACGTGGTACTCATCTTGGCTGCCCAACCTATCTCTCCGCATTTAGAAACGGGGCAAAATACGAAATCAACATAAGTATCTAGCTAGAGGGATTTTTGGAAAAAGCATGTTTGTTTTGATGAAACGGCTGTCCTTCTTGTATACTTTCCCTATGAGCTTTGATCGGTTGGGCAGGCGCGCATGCATTCAAAGTCATCGTCTTCAATCTAAAGATTAAATTTTTCAGTTTTCATTGCTTATAATGAGGACTGACTGAAAGAGTTCAGCATTATTATACACTTTTCACTTTAGACAACTCTCTACCAGTTGAATTGGAAGAATTCGGATCTAAGGAGGAAGTTCGTGATTATCTGGGTGGTCTTATCCATGCACTCAGATCACATAAACCATGTTCGGTATGCTAACTTCTGGTGTTGTAACAGATATTTGTAGTGTTGGTTATTTTTTTTTTTCAAGTTGTATTGATGAAAACCGTTGATTAGAATGCCAAACCTCTTTGAAAACTGTTACAAATTTACTTTCCATTATTTCTTGTAGAATGTGCGCCGAGATGATCCGTTATGGTGCGGTAAAATATCTTGCATGAGACTTGGAAGTCGTTGGTGTCATATGCATGAGTGTACGCACAATCAGAGGAACTGCACAGGTTTGTTGTCTGCATCTTTACGCATATTTTATGCAGTTTGCAGATAAGGATTGCCTCCGTTCCCAAGCAGTTATTTCACACTGGGTGAACTGCACCAATACTACATGTTTTGTGTGTTCACCCTGGATACGACCACGACTGCTGGAAAGCCAACGTATGTTTCTCCAACCTATTGTGATCTCTTGTTATGGTCTTTTGATGACTTTCTTGCAGCCAAACGATTCCTGAATGACATTTTTGGGAGTCACTGCTTTCTTGGAAGGATCGTCTCTCCTATAATAAACAAAAATCGCGCACAACCGTCTGGCGGAAAACATTACGAGTTCGTATGTGCAGAAAAACAGATTAAGGATGATCGCTACAGAATGTTTGCCATGGTAAACGAAGTTACCGCCGCTTCCATTAATGAAAGTAAGCGACTTCCTTCTGAATACTTTTTGATGTTTCCTAGTGATGCTCAGTTGCTAAGAGCATGCTAACACTCATTCTTTAAACTTCATTTAGCTACCAAATTGTTTCAAATATTTAGAGTTGTCAAAATTGCAGAAGAATTGCTCGAAAACCAGCGCGTCAGCTGATTATCCTTGCACTGGTAAGACCGCTTCTTCGATTATAAAGTGCGAAATTCTTTTGCTTAAATCGGCTGATTGAGAGTTGCTTACCAAAAAAACCTAGCTGCCGATCACTCTCGGCTCTCAGTTGTAGGTTAGCACACATTCATTACTTCTAACCACAACTAAAAAGCTATTTGTCGCGCATAACCATGGAACGATTTGACACACTTTCTACTGATCATCTTTACTTCTATTATAAGCTTGAATTTATGAATTTATATGCCAAGGTGCATGCATTCCACACTCTTAATGCGGCACTATTGAGTTTTTACAATCAAGTATCCTTGTTTTATTGCATTGGCTGCAGGACAAATCTGCTTTTAGAAAATAAGCATAATTTCAGTCTCAGTTTATTCTAGACAAGCCTCCATAGATTTTATTCAGATAAACCTGGACCCTCCGGTTATAATGGTGAAGACATCATTCCAATCATCATAGAAGCTCCCTGTAGCAATTGCGAGGAAGTATAAAATCAAGGAATTTTATTGTGATATCTTTCATAATACTGCATGTGATGCAGGCAAAAATTACCGTATTCTCATATCATCATATCAGCATATCCTTACCTCTTTGCAGTATGCTCATTATTCTTTCCGGGATTCTTGCTTACTGCTGATTCGTTTTATTCCCTTCAGATTAATCTCGGTCTACGACCAAAACATGGTGCTGCTCATCATACTCGCTCAAAAAAAGTACTTTTGCAGTGAAACTTTTGATCTGCTTCATTGTGGAGCACAGAGAATCTTCTCCCATCACAAGAAGTATCCATGGCGTAGTCAACATGACTGTTTTGTGACCAAGTCAAGTTGAGATCTAGTCGTCAGAAGTCCTGGCAGTCTTCAGAAGGAAGGAATTCTGTTGTTCATAGAAAGCGAGCATGTTGAGTATGCAAGCCTGTTACTTGCAAGCTTGAAGCATTACTCGAAATTTACAAATACTTGTGTTGCATGTTAATCTTTCTTTAGAATGTGTAATTCTATTGTAACTTTTTTGTTGATCTGCATAAAACTGATCTACATGTCTGCCCTGAATGTTCTGGTGTATATCCCGTGCGTTACTGTCATTATTAGGACGAGATGCTCTGACTTTTGAGACGTAGTTGACTTCAGTCGGCTTGGAATCGGGATGATTAATTCATTGAGTGGAACGAAGAATATCACTTTTATGGTAAGCGCTCGTTTGAATTTCGAATAAAATCGCCGTTTCTCTTATTGTGTGTCTAATACAGAAGTGGAGAGCGGTGTGTTCACAACCTGAAATACCCCGAAATAACTATGATTGTTGTTTCGGGGACGATATTTGTCGGCGACGATGGTGTTCGTGGCGATGTCTTCAATAGCTATGACACTTGAAGTCGTCGTTGAAGGACTGACACGATTCTCAAATGTGGAAGAGACGACTGAGGTACGCGCTTAAGTCTACCCTTTTCTCGAAATCCATTCTGTACTGTCATTATCGTTATTTCTCTAACGTCTACCGCATTTTATTTTGAGGAAATATCATCTTTTTTCTCACCTAGTGGCATTACCAACTTCGAGCTGTTTACTGTTGCCGTCATTTTCGACCAGTTTCATCGCATTATTCCTATTCATCTTCCGGAATTTCTTCGTCTATAGAGCTGGCTGGTATGTTGGTAAAGACGACTGAAAGTCTTTGCCAGCAACTAGAGCCAGCCCAGTTATGTCATTCGATAATTGCTCTGGCTTGATCGGTTTCTATAGTTGCTGACGATTTCCGAAGTCATTTCTATAGCCTCAACTGGCTTTTCCTTTCTAGAAAAAGAAAATCGTCGTTTACCTCAACTTACCAGTGGTATTTGGGTTTTGATGCCACGCGCGGTTCATTGCTAGTTTCCCTACTTTTCTTTTTGATTCTGCCTCATGTTTCGATGCCCTTTTATGTTAAAAGTTTGTTATGTATTAGGGATTTCCCCTGCAAGTATTCTACGCTTGTTATGTGGGTTTGTCCGTAGCTCCTCAGATAGTTGTCTAATTAGTGCGGTGAGGCAATACGGAGTCAATTATCGTACTAAGACTCAATGTGCCCGGTGAACTGTGCTGACTAGCATGGAACAATGCATGTCGACAAAAGATTGAATAAGATGCCGATTTGAATGGCAACCAACACGTATGACTCCTTTCGGGATTACTGTACCGATTAGATGAGATTGTGCCTCCTCTCCGCATGACTTTTTTTTGGAAATGTTTGCTTATGACTTTACTTTCTTGAGAAGGAAGAGAAAATTGTTAGTATCCTTTCTTATCCGTATTTGAGATAAGAGGTTTCGAGTATTGAAATGTGAGGTTCTTTGCTTCTACGCTTTTACCCTACATAAATGGCACTTGAGTTCTTGAACTGGGTCGTGTGCGAGTTTTCATACCGATGAGGTGAATAGAACTAGTGCATCGTGACGATGCGTATGTGTACACTTGCGGTCATTCTCTGGAACATTGTCAAGAACCATTCGGGAGCAACTGTACATATTCTAGTAATTTGGAATGTGACTCAAGTACTGTAAAAAAGCTTTAGTACGAAGAAGATCTAATATGAAATTTGGCCTGTTATGCATCTAAGCAAGTCACACTATGGATGGGCGTCCAAGGAAATTCATGTCAATTTCTCGCAGTTCAAGGATATAATGCAGAATAGAGATAGAGAATATAATGCGTAACATCCTTCAGATTACACTTTACCACCACACGTACAGATTACAGTTATTTCTGGGTTTGAAAGCAAAAATGATCTATGACTTCCGACTTCGGGAAAGCGACGTCGATAGTATCTATCTTCCGAGTTCTGATGGCCAAATATCGGGATAGCTTTTCACCGATAAGCCAAAACATCTGTTCAGTACTAGGTTTTGAGTAGTGGCTTGCTTACCACAGCTTTGTATGATATAACAGGGGATTATTTTAGCCCTTTTGCCATTCCCTTTGAATTTAGTTGATTAATATTTCTCTCAGACCCTGACTGATTGCAATATATGATGGGCTGGACGTGATTCTTGTGCCTCCTTCTTTTTATTTGAGCAAACTCGGAGGCAAATGAAGCTGGATTTCTGTTTTTCCAGTATCGCTTTTAACTAAATTTGATTCTGGTGCCAAGGACTACAGCAGTGGTGCCGCTCAAAAAGTAAAAAAGTGAGGACATTTTTTATGTTTGAAGTTCTATAATTCCATAAGCTCTCGATTTGATGATATTGTCAGCACTACTTTCAACACTTTCTGATTGACGTGGTCATCGAATCAAAGTTGGAAATGTAGGAAAATTGAAATATCAAAGTTGTCTTCACTAGTCCTGCTTTTGGATTGCATTATCTGTGTAGTTCTTGGCTGTAAATCGGGTGAGGCTAGAAGTAATGGTGAAAAATCACAAATTGCTTCTTTCTTAGATAGGTAATAGGTGGAGATATGGATATCTGTTTGTCAATCAGCTTCGCCTGCCTTCTGGTTGCCAATCTTTGCGCTTTGCCACAGCGAGCCCTTGGTACACATACTGATTAACATCTACAGGTGTAGACGTCATAAAGACCTTTGTGAGCTATTTGATGCTTCTATGTAGCAGAAGAAGCATGTCTCTTTCAAGAAATGGAAATAAGAGCACTACCGCTGTAAGTGGAGTACGGGTAAGGTAAAATCTTTGGGAAATTTTTTCAGAAAAAGTTGACATCTCGTGGTTTAATTGCTAGTAATCACCAACTTTCGCTTTTGATTCCGCTTGTACATTCATGTACATCATCGACGTCCTTGTATATGCTTGTTTGTTCCCTATGGATCCTCGCACAGCTCGTCTAAGTGATGCACAAGACGCAAAAACGGGGTCAGCAGCGCGACGGCAAACACCGAATCGCTCCGTCCACGCACTTCACCTCTTCATTTCGCAAGTTTTTCATTGGTATGCCGTGACATCGTAACCAAGTTTCGCGACGATGTCTCGATGAACCCCACTGGTCTCCATATGTGGTACGTGTTCGTCTTCACCGTTCTAATTTCGTACATGACACAGTGGCCGAGTGAGTACAACGTGCGTCTGACGTTTGCACTTCCCTTGAGGCGTTCGTGCATTCTTTCAGCACGTCGTAGCGCATTCTCATCTGTCACTTACACACGGTGTTCTTAGAGATTGTTATTCGTGTCGTCTTGAACAAAACATGTCACTGACAGATATTTTTTTCGAATCATGACTACTTGGCAGTTCCTTAATTTTGCATAATCTTTTCTCTATTTCAGAATTTCTAAATTAGATTACTGTATATCCTAGCCCACGTGATCGTTTTCTGAGAGGCTTACGATCTGGTAAATACTGGGCTTTTGGATTTTACCAAGTATTGCAATGCACCTGCTCTTGAATTTAATCACCTGGTGCAAATGCACCACGAATCAATTTTCGAATGCTTGCATAATCTTTGTGGGTCTAAGTCTGTCTAACAATGACAGATTTACTCAAGTCAAGAATGAGAGCAGCTGACCCAATTTAGCGGATTTTGTATAAGCACAGGAGAACTTGAGTTGTAGTACAATTGTACCTGGTAACTTGAGGTACCAGTAGATTAAATACATGTTTCTGTATTCAGGTAGTAATCAAAAACCACCAGGAGCAAATACTGGCACTAGGTTCTGTGTGTTTACAAATGCTCAAAATTTTATGGAAACGGTAAATCCTTTGGATACCGCTTAGAAATGCTCAGCTGAGAGAGAAGGTGGTGAATAACTGATTTGTGCTTTAGCGCTAGTGCTTTGAACGGAATTCCTCTTTCCATTTGAGTCTTCTGAGCTCGTAGTTTTATGGTCTTATTGAGTGTCTTACCATATGGTGTCTCTCGTTTAGTTCTCGCTATTTTCATTGTTGCTTCTCTAGAATGAGTGATTGAGAAGTAAAACGTAGAAAGGTGAAGTAAGTGCCTACTATACTTTCACTGTTTTGGCTCACATCGCTCTTCTTGTATGCTAGCATGAGATAAAAATCCATGGAAGACGTTTATGGTTTTTTTTTTTGAATCTTATCGGAATGTTAGTATTAGATTGAACCGAAGTGACGTCGCTTTGATTTTGAAAAATTCTAACTGCTCCCTATGTGAGCTATTTGCTTACAAAAAATGAACCTGAAAGCGAAATTCATCTGGTTTCTAAAAACTTCCTTGCGGCTCTTTGACAACAGTTGACTCCAGAGCTAAAAATCAGAAAAGGAAAGTTCCTCGAAGGCCCGATTTTTGAAAATACATCGTCAAAAAGTTGAAATGGTGCAGAGCAGAGCATGTTTTTTTAGAGATTTTGTGAGCTGCTCTTTTTGATAATGCCAATTTTGTGCTAATCGAGCTTATCTATGAAACGTCATGATTTTTGTGAAGAAGCAAAAAACGGCAAAAATGACGTTTTTCGCATTTTTCTGCATTCACGAAACCGTAACTTCTCATAAAAAAGCTTGATCGGCAAAAGTTTGGCAATCAGAAAGACCAGCTCACAAAACCTCTAGAATACATTCTCTCAGGTTTTTCTGCACTCCAGATTTTTGACGATTTATTTTCGAAAATCGAGAATTTGAGTGGTCCCTTTTTTGACCATCTCTAGTGTCTCTTGTTATCAAGCAGCAGTGGGGACACTATCAGAAACTGGATAAATATTTCTTTCTAATGATTTCACATAGGGAGCAGTTACGGATTTCAGAAAATCAAAGCG